CTAACTCTTGCAATTTTATAGTGCAAATGAACTTTGTATAAACTTTGAATGTCCTTTGTAACATGTGCACATCTGCTGGTCCAGAAATCAACTCATTATTAATGTGAAGCATTATTTTTTTTTTATCAGTATCTGCAGTGATTGTAGCTTTACATGTGAGAAACTAAAGCTAATTTGCATTAACTAGATTTATGGGATAGGCTCATATACGAGTGGCTTGTTTGCAATGACAATTCTTCAGAGATATGGATGGTATCATATAATTATAAGTTTGACATTTATAGCTTGTATCATACTGTTGTAGAAAGGTTCTCAAAAGTACAATTATATTTAGATTTTAGAATTGTTAAGCAGTTGATTTATTTTTGTTATTTATGATGTAGTTATAACAAAAAGACTGAATAATAAGTTATATGTGCACAGAGAAAAACCTCAAAAGCTTATACAAGTTAATTAAGCACCTATCTCTTAAGCCCTCTACACACTATCAAGTTAAAAAAAGTGATATGCCTAAATATGGTCATGATAACATCACATCATGACCATATTTAGGCATGTCATGACCATATATGGGCATACCTCAATTTTTCATCAAATGAAATTTGATGCTCTGGACAGGGAGTTAGTAAGCTCTCCTGAATTGTCACAATGCATTTTAGTGGTTAATTTTTTTTTACAGTGCATTCTGTGATTCTGTTTATTTTGTGATATGAAAGCATGTAGGAATTATTAATAATATATCACTTGTTTTCAGCAAGTTATAACATGAAAACCCGAGACAGCAACTTTCCAAATGACTCAACAATGACTTAATGATTCAGATTCTTGTTAATATTGCATTCAAACTGTCGTATTTATTCTAATTAATGCGCTGAAGGGTTTATTGTTGAGAAGAGATTTTGAAGGGTTTTTACTCAGGGTGGAGGGGGGGCCATTTTTTTGAGGGAGGTGTTTATTTATTTTGGTGTAAAACAGATACATATTCACTCAAATACATGCCCCTTAATTTCACTGTAAATGTGGAACTACAGCACATAATTACCGTCAAAATGTGTTATTGGGTGATAATTAGACATTGATTCAAACCAGGTTAGAAAAAATTTAATTCTACTGGAGTGGTACATTAATAGAATGTTGCTTCCATTAGATTTATTTACTGTCATTTAGAGGGCATTTATTTGAGGAAAGAAGACTCACCTACGAGAGTTTATTCCAAATAAGGCTCTAGACGGGCGTTTATGAGCTTAAATATGGTAACTCTTTTGAATTGCATAAGCTGTACACATTTTGAGATTGGTATTTTGATGATGATGATGACGATGAATTTTGCATTGAGCTTGTTAATGCAGAAAGTTTAAAAGCATAATAATAAATTGATATATAATTTGGTACTAGCAGCATAGGCCTTTCCATAACTGCAAATACAGTACCCATAGGCTTCACAACACCTATGACTTGAGTGTTTCGATTCTGTAAGGTTATTTTTGTGATATTTAGTAGAAACTAAATAAAGTCCACTATCTCTTTTATTACTAAAATTTGAATTATTGTTTAGTAAATATTGGACCAAAATATCAATATTAAAAATTGTATTTTTGAATATATTTAACCTGAAAAATCAAATTTAAAAAACAAAATTTTATAAAATTTAGGAACTTTATGTATTGAAGTTCCTTTTGTAAATGCACCATGAAAAGTATTGGCTATTAGGGATATGAATCAGTTATGCAATTTCCAGTTTATAATAAATATATTTTGCTGGGTTTTTTTTGGTTTTTTTTCTATTTTTTTAGTGTTTATTCTTTGCATTTTAAGAGACATTTTAACCAAATTTACAGCTTCAAGACTATATTAGGTGTTTCGGTATATGCAAATTTAGTGAGTTACAAAAAGCGTAGGTATTTTTTGGAAGGTAAGAGAAGATTAATGCTGATGAAGTTACTCCTTGTTTTCAGCTGAAAAAAATACCTCAATAAAAATTACATATTTTTCTGCATCCTTTACCTCATGTTTTTTATTGGGCTGCGGGGTGACTTTTTTATGAGGTAGAACACTTGAAATTCTTGCATGTGTCCTATGTGCCTCAGTGGAGGATCCAGAATATTTCAAACGGGGAGGGGTGGGGTCGGAGTGCACAATAGTTTTGAAATAGATAAGGAGCACATAATATTATGGCAAAACAGAGGGAGGAACGTAGTCCCCCCATGCCCCCTACTGGATTCGCCACCTGTGTTTAGAGATGCCCACCAGGAACTACATACCCATTTCATATGGCATGCCTTCAAAAGCACTCTTTTGGTGTATTAAAAAATACATAATTTTTAATAATCTATTAATGTACAGATGTATTTTTTAAAGGCATATTATTAGTCGCACACTTTTATTTTTGGTATTTGCAATGCTTACATTTAAATTCCTCCACAGTTCATAGCCATTATATTTTTAACCAATGAGATTAGTCTGATCAGAATTATAGCTTTCTGCACAAACTTGCTTTCCACAACCAAGAAATTTGTATATGTAAACATTTTATTTTGCTTAATTAGTGAAATTATGAGGCTGAAATAAAAGTGTAGGTTTTTGGTAGCATAAAGTCTTGCTAGGTCCATGTATGCAGTTATAATAAATGTGCAATGAGTTGTCATAAAAATAAATTTTATGTTTGTGTTTTTTTTAACTTGTTGTTGCCCAAGCCTGTGTAACCCAAAACTTAGGGTCAACTTTTCACTCATGTATGAGGTATGAAAAGGGAAATTATTTTTAACCTACTGGTTACTATGTTTAACCATTCAAAATACATGGAATGATTGATGGTTTGCCATGCATCCTAGAACTGGGCCTCGGCATTAGTAAAAGAAAAATTTTGACCGACCGACCAATTCTGTTAAGTTAAGACAGCATTTTTTGGGCCTTGAGGCCAACTCAGACAGCATTGTATGATGCAGCCTGGTCTGTGTGAGTTAAATGCAGACGCGAGAATATCATAATATTCTCACGACGACCTAAAGACTTTCCTTGACAATAAATGATGGCGGGGTGCGTCGCTGTCTGAGTTGGCCTTAGCTTGTAGAAGTAAAGTTGAAGACCACTTTGTAATCCACACCAAGTATTCAAAATCTAGTTTTGTATCTTAATTTTATTCAAGATATAAAATACCAAAATAATACTGTACTATACAATAGCAGATCAAAACAAAATTCCCTAGATGGGTATACAGAGCACACGGAAGTATGAATGTTCACCCCCTCTATGGTATGTATAAATTGAACGAGATGCATAGTTATAACAATATGGTGAGCACACTCAGGCAAGATCATGTTACCAGATTGTGTCCAATAACTCAACATAATTAGAAAGGACAGCGCCACCACTATGCCAGGATTAATTGGATCAGCATCAAAGATCTTATAAACACAAGATCGCGTTCTCCACGATTTACGCGTGACAAATAGAAGCGTCGATTTGGCACAGAAAAGTAATCAGTTTTGGGAGAGGGCATCCTAGTCGTTGCCATGGATCTGAGATAGGGTGTTCGCGTTACGCCATAAGTTCATTACCAAGTACATTAATTTGTTCCTTACGTTCTAAAGAGAGGGCGCATTGTAAATCGGACGCTTCTATTGTTACGCGTAAACGTAAAGTCGCGCTGCGTACGCTATGGTCAGAGCGGTCAAGGTTCAAAAGTTTTCAATTTTGCAAGAGGGCGCCCTTCATGCCTTATTACAGAATTTGCACGTCTAAATCGCAGAGAACGCTATCTTGTGTTTATAAGATCTTTGATCAGCATTACGTCCCGGTGGTAATGTGTATTTTATAAACTTGACGCACATAGCATCAGCCAACAAATGCGTCCATACTTTAAAGGAAACTAGTTTTAGAATTCATTTTTATCTCCAAAATGGCTGCACATTGTTGGCTGAAGCAGCATAACAACGTTGTTTGCCACACACTTTAACATAGTACTTTTATTATGGTTTGGCATTTTATATTGCTTTTTTCGGGTGGTGAAGACACCCATTTATAGCTTTTATATTAGAGGATCTAGACTTTTGATGAACGAATGCTTTTGTATGATGTGCACTCGCTCACATTCTCGTCCTAGCTGTATGACTGCACGTACATAATTATTCCAGTTCCTAACAGGCTACCAGTTCATTTCACTTCAATCGTGCTTCTCTTTTGATGAATCGTTGTTGCGGCTTCTCAGCCACCTAACTGACTTGTAAAATGATGAGACGATGGGCAGCATGATGGGTAAAAATAGTGGAATGTATATAGCAAACCTGTTGAAGAAATAACACAGACAAATAATCAGTTATACCTAGAATATTTACAGTATAATCAATTAAGATATGTTGTGCTTTTGTAGTGTAATGGCTGTCCTAGAGCCATGTGTTCAATCACTTTAAATAAAACTATTATTGATACAAAGTTTGAGTTCTGTTGGAGCCCAAGTTGTAGGAACCTCCTGGAAATTATCATAGTTTGCAATCATCAAGTAAAAATTTCTTGCAAACTAACCCATCTGCAAATTCAATAATGTTAGATGTTTTACTACTGCATCCATTAGCTGTTTATGAATGTCATCATGTGTAGCAGAAACAACCTCCCTTTAAAGTAGCTTTAATCAACTTGCAATTAAAAATACACTAAATATTCATGTGATTCTTAATCAAGTTATTTACACAGATACTTACTTTTGGTCTTCTGGAAAGTAAAGTAATTCAAGCAATGACGAATCGAAGAAGGCCTCTTCCGCTGTTTGGATCGCTTTCTTAGAAGCGTGGAAAGCACGATAGACATTCCCTTCGGCTAGAAACCTCTCGCTCAGTTGGATTGTTTCAACTGCACTATAGACCTAGAAAACCACCAAATCCACACATCATGTAAAGTGTTCCCTTATTCTTTATTTAACTTCCAATAAAGCTTCAGCTGTTTTCTTGATTCAATAATCAATTTTAGTTTCATTATCATTTTTTATTTTATGCCTTGTATAGCCTTCTGTTATTAAAGACATATCAAGACAAGGAAAAAATTCACCTTTAACAAATTATGCAAGGAAAGGGAAAACTATGGCATGTTTGTTTCATCCCTGTTTACACAGTCAAATTGTTGATTGTCAGAAAACAGATTCCAAATCTGAGACCCACCACCCAACCACTCTTAAAGATTGTAGAATCTGCCTGTTATAATCTAAAATCTGGACATATTAGTAGGATTGATAAAAATAGAATTTTCATATCAAATGTTTATCTTATTCTTTGTCTTGTTCAATCATTCTAGTAAAAATAATGGGATAAAGGTTTGCATGTCTAAATATACTGCCTTATAAATCTTTCTGAAGCAATTATCTTATATGCTGCCCTCTATTGGTAATGTGAAAAGTGTGTCACTGAAGAATACTCACCTCTTTAGCAACATTGTCTTTTATTACCATATTGGAAATCTTTCCTAGAAGTTGCGAGAGCGAAGTCAAAGTTGAAGATGCTGTTGCAATATTTTCTAATGTTTTAGTTCGGAATAGCACATCCACTTCCTATGAAAATTAATTGTAGAGCTCAATAAATTAGAAGATCTTGAATTATGAAATAAATGGTAATTGTAAAATGCTTTATGACCTTTTCCCTGGTAGTTCGTTCAGTGAAGTTAATTTCTCCTTTCTTTTTATTGCAGTTAGTTTGGGTGAAATAGTATACCATGAATGCTCTCGAGTGCAATGGGGTAAAATATTTCATGAGGTGAAAGATTGGATTCTCTATTCATTGGCACGTTGAGTACTATTCAACGATCGTTGACTGGTCTCTCAAAAACCATTGAATAGTCCATTTATTCAATCCCATATGACCTGTTTTCAACCAATCAAATTATATAAAATAGGTGTTGTATATAATAGAATGTCTATATAAGAACCAGCATTTTATGATCAGGCCTCAACACTGTGGTCACGTTCTCAAATCCTCGCAGTCGACTTTGTCCTTAGGCCCAGGAGTATAAATTGGTACCGAGAAGGATGTTGTGGCATTGCATATATTACTTTTGTACAATGTATGTTATTAATCACCAGGATAATAATGTTCTCACACCTTTCATAATTATTGGTTTGTAATGGGTGCCATATAAAATTGAGATGTTATTATTTAGTATCCAAAATTTTTTTGTAGCTATGATGCCTGCTTTTCTATCGTAGGGGTCCGGGTTCAATCAGTATGAATTCTGCGACTCATAAACCAACATTAGTGGAACAATATAATACCTATATCATTTTATTATTAGAAAAACATTGGTAGGCCAACTTTTTAAAAATAAAAAACAATACATAGCTTGACTATTAGTGTAACATGCTGTTACTACAGTATTTAAACAATTTCAAGAATTGACAGAAAATTATAGTTATATACCCAATCAGTAATGGCCGAGTTTTTCTCCTCCTGAAGGAACATATCTGCATTCTGCAAAAAAGAGAGGAAAACCAAATATAACAGATAAAATTGAAGTAAAGAAACAGGTTCCAGTTTCCAAAAAAAAATGTGGTCTGAGAAAGCCTTGTTCATGTGCAAGCAAGCGCGACAGCGGTACAGACGATGAAAATCTTAGGTACAAATGCAATCAATCAACACTTTTTTGAAAGAAAATGTTCAGGTTCTGAAAAAAAATGCTGTACATTAGGGTGATAATCCAGTGATTATATTATTGGCCTACCAATATTATTATCATTATTAGACTTAAAGCTTGGAAACCAAAACATCACTTTACAATTTATAATTTTAAACAATAAAATACTTCATTATTAGTCTTAATGACATGCATAATTAATATGCAAATGACCCACCTGTGCAGGTATACCAAGCAACAACCTAAGCTGACCAACGAACACCTCCATCACGTATTGCATATCAACCTTTAACGGGTCACGTTCACTCTTGTCCTCCACGTTCTCTGGTGTATTGTACACCAACACGCCACCCCAGCGAGGGCTTAGGAATGCGTTGAACAGGCTTCGGTTATCATGCGCATCCATTACGTATAATGGAGATTGTGACTTAGTTGGTAGGTATACAATGAAGTTCAGATCAGGGTTTGTAGAAATATGACTGCCTGAATACAGAAAAAAAATATGGATATTATTATTATTACTTCTTTATTGAATAAGAAATTTTATATGCAATTGTATATACAGTACACAGTGACAAATTTAATTCATTGTATATAGATTTTTGTAGGATTTATTTCCATTCCAGTCATGTTGGTATAATGATGTTATGAAATTAACTTTTCTTTTTTTTTTTTGCTGTATGAATGAATGAATTAATGATAGTGGTTGATTATGCTTGCCTTCCAATCCCAGGGTTCTGGGTTTAATTCCTGTCAGTGTTGCAGGAAGTTTCGTGCATGTATGTTTCCCGCTTGTGAAAGGGATTATTACCTACAATGGGATAGTGATATAATCACAATATGGGTATCCTTGGCACATGTGCGTGAGCCTAAATAAATAATAAAAATAAAATAAATGTTGTTGATGAATGCAATTATGTTACTCTTACCAAGCCTTGCTTCAATTGGGTTGATGACATGCGCAAGGTGTTCATATGGTAGAATATAACTATTGTCTATGCCAGATTTTCTAGGTTGTACTGCTAGCTTTGAGTAATATAGTACTTGGGATTCTACACCAAAGTCAGCAAACTCAGACAATTTATCAAGAAATGGTTGCAAGTAAGCTGGAAAAATATGAAAACAAAAATATTTATTGCTATTAATTTCACAATGAAATAATTACTATCACCACCACTAAACAGGTGTCCCAAGCCTCCTGCAAGCTGTAGGAGTATCCCGGAAACCAAGGCAGTCTCCCGCAGATTAGCAGGGCAAAAAAAATCACTCAGAAAATAACCCATCTGCTGCAAATTCAGGATATCTGCATGTTTCTACAACTTTATTATCAATTGTCTCCCAGGAGTCAGTGCCAATAGCTATCACCATGCAGCACAGCAGAATGCAAAATAAAATTCAATTCCAAACATTCACGTCTTACTAGGTATCTATATACTCCTGTGTGAAAAGTGACAAACCTGAATAAGTAGATACTTGTTTTGCGAACTTACTTTTAACCATAGTCAGAGGAGGGCGAAAAAAAAAATTAAAACAATATTTTATTTCCTTATTTAGCAAATAGGTTTGCCAAAAACATTCAGATGGAGTAGAAAATGAAAATAACAATTTTTTGTTGAATGTTGAAAGAGTGTAGTAATGTGATGGTTAAACGCTCTAAATTTATATAATTAGGAAGAAATACACATTATCATATTTTTTGAGTTTCAAGGCAAAGAAAAATTTTTAATTATTTCTGAAATTTCCATTTCTTTGTGACGGTGGGTGCGCTAATAGGCCAAAAATAAAATTTTAATTTCATCCGAAATCATCATTATTTGCGTGTGGGGGTTCGCTAAAAAAGGTGTAAAAAAAGTATCACCTAAAGTGCAGCCAAATACAACATGAGATTTGAACCTTCGACCTTAAAATTTAATAGCCTAACTACACCCATTGTGTCATGTTATCTTGTACAGCTATCTATAGTTTCTAACAAAAAATATTCAACTTACACTAATATTACTCTTATTACTATTACATTAAAATCTCTTCACTTACATTGCACACCACTTGCTATATCCCATGTATAATGTATACTTGCCGGGTCAGGGTTCAAAAGGTTAAATGAAAGTTCATAACCTGGTTTTGACCTCAAAGCTCGCATACTATCTATATCATCCTACAAAAATATTTAGAAAAACACACACAAATTAAAATCAGGAAAATTATAATAAAAATATCAACTTTTTATTTTTTTTTATTCATCCAACATTGGCATGTTAAAAACATTTACAATTTCATATATTTCTCAGGTACTAAATTTAAAGAACACTTTTTCACTTTTATGTCACTTAATTTAACTAATATTATACATTAATTATTAATTATATAACTTAATCATGTTAGTATTTTAACCATAAATATAATTTCGGATTCCTATTATATATTTGTGTTTATTATAAACTTGATTACAATAAAGTTGGTCCTTTGACTTTCAATATTGAATATAATATTAGTATCATAACTGATCCATTTCCAGTTGTGATGTGGTTCAACTTACTTGTGAATTTGCACTTTGTTTTGAAGTTAAATGTGACTTAACAATTAGCCTTTCATTTGTAAACACTTCACGGATCAATTGCATAACAAAGGCCACGGTATTGTCCAAATCTACAAATGGAATTTCACAATGTGAGTGAACATCATTATTTACCTTAATAGGTTTGTAATGAATAAATATATATCAACGATTATGACCAATAAAAATACACAAATCAATATCACCATGGAGATTGACTATTAATTATGGATGAATTGAATTAGCTTTATGCACTTTATTAAATCAATAATCATACCATAACTTGGCTGTTTACTTGCAACTAAATTGGAAATTAATTCCTCTATTAAGAAGCTGAATAAACACACACTCACTACAAAGATAAATGCACAGAATTTGGTGTCCTCTTTCACTGTCAGCATGTTATAACTTGGTTCTCCCTGGTAAATTTCTCTCCTTCTGGTAATCTCAATGTTCTTTGTTAAGCCCTCTCTCAGTTCAGCTGAGAGAGGGGTTTTTTTTTATTGTTTGTTGTAACAGAGAACTAAACAGGAAAAGGGGTTCATCCCACTCCCTCCATTTTTTCTCCCCTATTCCTTCTCAAGAAATGCTGTGACTTTGTGAATGCATATATACAAGTTTCTTTCTAATTAAATGGAGGGAGACCTGTAATCGAAAATGACAGAAAAGTTTTCAAATACTTAGGAAGGATATTAGCTAGATTTGAGCCTACACTTACTGGATATTAGGTTGAGCACCTCACCACAAAACCATAAAGCATCTCCCATCTAAATCTTACCTTGTTCAAACTTAACATAACCCCTTCTTTTCTGACTCAATATAGTGCTTGAGGAATTGAACAGTTGTTCAGAAAGTATATAAACATCTGATTTTCCTAATTTAGGTTGAGCCATCTCTTCTTCATTTTGGTTACTGGTAAGTGCCATATCGAAATCTAGTAAAAAGACAAGAACATTACAATAGTATTAATACTATGTGTTGAATTTTAAATATCTTTTATATCGTACTGTTTATTTATGTGAATTTTAGGTGTTTCATATTTTCAAAGATTTCCAGTGTAACATTGGACAATAAAAGTTATCTTATCATGTCAATTTTTTGCACACACATTAACAATAAAACTCATATTTTAAAAAAAGACTTTTGAATATTAAATTTAAAATCTGTATAATAATTATTACCATCTATTTGATAATACCAAACCACACCAAATAAAACAAGATGGGCTCTCATTTTACACACTTTTCTATTTTGTATACAGTAGAACCTCCTTTTTTCGTACTTCAGTTATATACAACTCGTATGGACGATGATGTCAACAAAACCAGCAAACATACTCAAAACAAATGGCCCTTTTTAGGACAACCATAATGTAAAAAGAGATTTGTTAGTTCTGTCTGTTTATTACTTCAATATTGTAACAATAAACAAACCAAATGCAAGGAATTTGCATTCAACAGCAACGTTGATTATGTCTAATTAATGCACTGCTATAATCTACAAATATAATGTGGACTGAGCGAGATGAACAACAACTGTTCGTGAGCAAAATAATTTCTTTCCTACTAAGCTTCTTGTGAAGAACTCGTCTGATCGAATTTTCTACACAAAGTTTACCAAGCTTGCCAATGAATGCTAATTGTTTAGCTCACCCAGTGCAGTGCACATGGTTTTAGTTTGTCTTAGCACGCCCAGACAAGACCGCAGCTCTGTTGTTTAGAATAGCCATAAAGGGGAATTCCCCAAGATATACCTTTGTCGTATAGGTAATCTTACAATATTTTCGTGTAATGTGATGAATTAATACACTTGGTTTATTTGAACACTTTAGTATGACATTGAAAAGTGATGAATAAAAACACTAAACACATGGTTATATTTGTAGGCCTAGGGCTACATTTGTAGGCCTAGGTAACATCGTTCGTCCATAACATATGTTTATTGAGTCTTACGTACGTATTAGGTCAAAGATCACCACAAATTGAACCCAACCTTAATTTTATGAATCTTCTGATTTACGTACACCCTCTGGTCCCGTTCCGTACATAAAATCAGGGTTCTACCATACAGTTTGTTATTTGTCATTTTAATGTCATTTTATCTACCAAGCATAACAAATTTCTGTATATATTACATACAGACCAAAAATAGTTCTTGAATCTTTAATGCAATTAACAATCAATATAAACATTAAGATCATTGACAACTATGAAATAACTTGTTAATGTGAAATTAATATGATTATATAGGTAACATATCTAATAAGCTTAAGCTTATGAGCTTAACAAAAATCCTTTAAATTGATTATCAGCAAATTTTAAGGGTCTTTACAAAGAATATAGTTACATAATTTGAATAAACGCCCCGGGGCGTTTATGTTTTCCTCGAGCAAATTCCCCCTCCCTCCTAAACTATAAATAACACTAATGAACATTTACAGTAAAATTAAGTGAAGTTTAGTTGAGTATATAATGTATGTATTCATTTGACACCATATGCCTCCCTCGAATAAACGCCCCTCAAAAACCCTTCTCAACAACAATAGCGTATCTAGGAGTCTTGAAATTCGGTGGCTAATTGGGGAGTACAAAGGACACGTGGGAAGGCCTGATGATTAGGTGAGGGGTATTAGCTCGCAAAGCAAGGTCATTTTAGGCGATTTTGAGCGTGATTTTTGTGAGGGACGACTGGAGGGGGTGCAAGAATTTTTTGGAGGGGGCGTGCACTCCCACACATCCCCTAGATTCACCACTGCTCAACAATAAATGCTCTGGAGCATTTATTCAAATAAATACGGTACATGGAAAAAACTTTCTCTTTGTACAAAGCTAGCAATGAAAATAATTTATTTGATTTTTTACCTTAACACGTTCTTAAAACAATGAAAATTAAAATTTTATTAAAAAAAATACTAAATCAAGATTGACTTACCTTTTAGTGTTTTACTTTTTGATAAGATATGTGCAGTTTTACCAGAGCATTCATTAAGTGAAATCTTGTATTGAATTGAAAGGTCGCCTAATCTCACAATACCTTAAAAAAAAAGGAAAAAGGAAGTAACGTGTATTATCACGTATAGACAAGACTTAAAATAGCAAATTACGATTGCAAAAAAGGGAGTGGTCATCTTATACGTGCAACACATACAATTTTCTCATTTTTAAATCATGTTCGTCTTATGTGTGGATCGTCCGTAACATGCAAACTTACTACTGAAATCAAGCTAATAACTGTTAGTATAATGAAAGCAATTTTAAATGAGGAGAAATAAGATTTTGATGAACAACTAAAAGCCCATAAAAATTGCATTGTTTGGACGATTAGTCCTACATTTGGCTCGTTTTTTTTTAACCAGCTAGATAAAGTATCAAAACCATACAGAGCAGCAAAAAGTAGGAAGTCTGACCGCAAAACAGATGGGTCATCTTATATATACGGTCGACATACAAGAATCAGCAAAAAATCTTTCAAACTCGGGCATCGTACAATACGGAGATCGCCTTACATGCAAAAATATATATGGTAGTTAGAATCAGTGTTATTATTTATATAAACTGTAATAATA